TTAAAATTATGTTGTAAACAGGATGATATCAATAATGAGTTATTGTTAATTAAGCACATAGCAGTGGAAAGAGGTTTTAATCCAGATGTTGTTAACAGAGCTGTCATAAAACTAAAAAACAGGGATAAAAATATTAAGTTAAAACCATTTGCTGAAAAAAGTAAGAAAGAATGTTTAGCATTATCATATATACCTGGTTTATCTTGTCAAATAATGAAACAATTTAAAAAACAAATAAATATTTTTCCAACATACAAACTGATAAACAAAGTCAGTGAAAGTTTTAACACAACTAAAGATAAAATTGATTTAATGGAAAAATTTGGCATATATAAAATATTATGGGAACGTAAAAAAGTCTATATAGGACAAACTAGAAGAAATTTAAAATTCATACTGAATGAATTTTAAAAATAATAATATTACTATCTCACCTTTAGCAGAACATGTTAGTGAAATTAATGACACAATTCAATGGGAAAACATTCTTATTTAAGCACAACCTGGAAATTTAATTGGTATGAATATACGTGAATCTGTTGAGATAATTAAATGTAAAAAATAAATTTAAATTATTGAATAAGAATGATGGACCTGAAGGAAATGTTGTCAGCAGATAGCGTGAAATACTTTAATATGTAAATTGGTGATTTAATAATTCTATAAATAAGTGTTATTTTTGCAAAACCTTACACTCCTGAGGATGAAGTAGTAGTATACGTCAAAACATATAGAATGTATGAGATTGTTTTCCAGTTTCATTGGGGTTTATCCCACTTTTTATCCTGTACAGTAAGTTATTGTATTTTAGTAATTTGGAGACTGGAAACAATCTCATTTATATAGAATTGTGTATAAAATAATCATTGTTTTTTAAAAAATGTGAGTTTTTAACATAAGTAATACATGTATAAAAAACTTTATTATCTTATTTATGAACCTTATATTTTTCTTGTTTATCATAAATAATGTGTTATTGACAGTTTTGTTTGTAAATAAAGAATGCAATTTTCAGATGGCTAAGTGCATTATGTGCATATAAATACTTCAAGAGTGAAAAACTTTAGTATATTGCATTTGATCATCACAATCAAGTTAAGATGTTTAGTTAAAATATTTGATATAAAACATAAGCTTGTAGCCTAAATAACTTGCAAGTCCAAGTCTTCAGAATTTGGTGAAGAAACAATTCAGACTCAATTAATCAGTTAATTTACATTACCATTGAGATTAATGAAAATAATTTCATATAAGAACAGATTTTTAAAATACTACAATATAAACATAGCACAGAAATGGATGGACTTCAATATCTTCAGTTTTAACATCCTTTTTAGAAATATTATAAAATTACTCAACATCAAAGATTTCCTAAGAATACAACTTATTGTGTTCAATATGTAGGCTACTTTGAAAAAGATTTAACTGATAAGGACATTAAATAAAAGACATTGAGCAAATACATGATGAATCAAACACAGAAATTTGTCAACCTACATTTTCTTTACCAACAGAAAATTCGGTATAGATGACACCTCTTTGTAACCTGTAGTTGACCAATCCATACATGCCGAAAGTGTTGGAATCATTGTCAGTAGCTTTAACTGTTAGTATAATTGAATGATTTTCTCCTTCTTCTTCAATCTCAACTTTGTAGGGTTCATTAACAAATACTGGATCATTATCATTTACGTCTCCAATCTCCAGGGAGACCAGGGTAACAGATGAACGATTAGGTTTTCCACTGTCTGTTGCAGTCACAGTGAAATTGAGCCAGTGGTATTCTTCATAATCCACTTTCTTTATTATTGTGAGATCCCCTAAGTTATACAAAAATATTTGCTTTTCATCAGCCTAGAATTAAATTAAGTTTAATACTAAAACAATTTACACCTCTATATTATCAGGTTTCTTACTCAGAGCTGTAAACTAAATAGATTTATACAGAGTTCAAGAGCTATAAATTATATTAATTGTAAGTTGGCAACCAAATCAACATTAGGTAACAATAATGAAAGGAATACAAATCAAAGCCAAGATATTCACAATGATACTTAATAATTACTAGTCCTTGTCATTACCATTAAATTGTAATGGAAAATGTCTGTGGTAATAGCTCGTAAAGGATTGGGGATATTCCATCTATCAGACATGATCCAAATGCAAGTGTTCAACAAGTTAGCAGCCATGGAGAATCATTTAGTGGTTAGGATATGAGTGATTAAACCCACAACATCTCAATTCCTGTCTACAATTTTGCTGTCTACAATAAGTCACCCTCCAATCTTTACATAAAGACATTTATTTTAGAAGTAAATGACTCTATTCTTCTACAATTAATTTTAAAACTCCCAACCATCAATTTTCTAGAAATATTACCAAATGATGTTAAATAATCAATTATCACAATATTTAGATATAAAGATAACCTTGTAGTAGAAATAAACCAGCCCTGATAATGGTTACTGTGTTACTGAAACTAGTCAGCTGTAATTCATAATAAAGATTTACTTTTCATTTTATCAAAAAGTGTTGGATTTTATGTTTTCTACTATTAATATATCAGCCCAATGTGCCTGAAAAGAAAATATAATATGTTTATTGATACATTACTACTTATGTTTGTTTTTAACTTCTACACTTTGAACATGGACTAATTTTAAGTTTCAGTGGAATTTGATACCTAACCCATCTGTATGTTGGATAGTTGCTGACCTCTTTCATGCTGTGTTGGTTTAAATAGAAATATTACTTAAGATAAAAAAGTAAATAATATAGTGCCACTTACAGATGACATTCACTGAAAACCAGCTTATATTATGATTCCATAATTTCTTTACAGGGCCCTTTCCAAAGATATAAAAAAAGTCAATTTTCATATCAAACATAGCTGACTATGTGAATGTGATAATAGTTTGAAATTGTCATTGCAGATACTTGTAAACACATTACCCATAAATATGACATTAGCATGTACACATATTACTACATACTACAGACATGAGTTGTAAGCATACTAATACAACGTACACATCATAAAATTTAATGTGCTGTAATTGTAACAATGGTATATACAGATTACCATAAGCCAATCTAAAAATATAAGCTCTAAATGCAATAAATGTGTGTAAATATTGCTGCAAGTAATGGTGAAGTAATAATCTCTAAATGTTATAGGAGTATATACAGTTCTCGAAGTGGAAAGTAATGTGGGGGAGACACATACCCCCACTTCTTGTGCATCTTGATTAAGAATATCAAACAATGAAAAATGCTATCACCATTTTATGGGTGAGCATACCCCACTTCTGAATTCCCACTTCGAGCACCGTGTGAATGTATATATATATATGTATATAAAGATTTCTGCAGTTAATGGTGAGATTATGAGCTCTGAATGTAATAATTATATGTAAAATTCATTACAGATAATGGTGAAGTAATGATCCCTAAATGTAATAATTCATAAAGTTCATAAAGTTTTAAAGGGACAAAAAAGGAGCTTATTAGCCCATCAAGGATGTCCCTTCCAGCACCCAACTATAACCACCCTTTACTACTCATGTATTCATCCAATCTTTACATAAACTCAGTTAAATTTTCTGCCTACACTGCCCTTGAAGGCAGCTTATTCCAAATGCCAACCACCCTGTTTCAAAAGTAATCTATATACTACTAAAACTCTGAGATTGTTTGTTTGTTTGTTT